CCTGTGAGGGGGGAAGTGGGTTAAAATGACACACTTGTCATACTATCGGGACACAGAATAAGTTTACGCGACTGTAGCGACTCTAGACGCAACCCTAGGCAGACCCTAAATTTTAATTGGATGAAAAATGTAAGTGGGTCAAATAAATTAAGTGGGTAAATAAATTTAAGTGAGCCAATAAATTTAAGTGGGTCAACAAATTCAAGTGGGTCAAAAAATTTAAGTGGGTCAAAAAATTTAAGTGGGTCAAAAATACAAGTGGGTCAAAAAAATTTAAGTGGGTCAAAATATTTAAGCGGGCCGAAAAATTTAAGTGTATCAAAAAATATAAGTGGTCAAAAAATGTAAGTGGGTCATTAACCTTAAGTGGGTCATTAAACTTAAGTGGGTCATTAACCTTAAGTGGGTCAATAACCTTAAGCGGGTCATTAACCTTTAAGGTAATGACCCACTTAAGGTTAGTAAAATACTTAAGGTTAATGACCCACTTAAGGGTAATGACCCACTTAAGGTTATTGACCAATTCAAGTAGGTCACTAACCTTAAGTGGGTCATTACCCTTAACTGGGTCATTAACTTTAAGTGGGTCATCAGATAACCTCTCGGGGGAACTGGTACTTACCCCTCAGGCTGGTCCCCCTGGGGGACCGTCACCCCCACGTCGGGGAAGATCCGCAGCCCCGCCCTGAAGCTCTGATACTCGCGGGCAAAGTTGCGGGTCCCCGCGATGAGCAGCCCCGGGAGGTGGGGAGGCAGGACCACAACCTGGGATGTCACGGGGGGGATGCGCAGCCCCCCACCTGACGCACACCTGCGGGGGAGGGGGGTTGGAGATCAGTGGGCTACCCCCGCGACCGTAACAAAATTTGAGGTGCGCGGCCGACTCTGCATCAGGTGCCGCCCAGGGGCCGTATTATCAAAACTTCGTAAGTACGCAAACTCGACTTACGAGTGACGTTGCTATGACAACGTAATACTAGCGGTGGTATTATAGAAACATTTGCGCGGGAAAAAATTTACGCTTTTAGCTAAGACTTGCGTACGAAAATTTTGATAATGCCAAAATTAGGGTGTACTTACGTACCACATAACTTTTTGGTCGTAAGTTCAAAAAGTTACGAAGTTTTGATAATCCGGCCCCGGGACTCGGGGAGCGTGTAAATCAGCCGCTAATGTCAGCCTCGGCCGAGCCTGAGGTGCAGCCTCTGGGCAGCTTACAAGCTCGGTGTGACTCGGTCAGGCAAACCCTTGTCACACTTTCGGGACACACTTGTCACATTCATATTCAGGACACACTTGTCATATTCATATTCAGGACACACTTGTCATATTCATATTCAGGACACACTTGTCATATTCATATTCAGGACACACTTGTCATATTCATATTCAGGACACACTTGTCATATTCATATTCAGGACACACTTGTCATATTCATATTCAGGACACACTTGTCATATTCATATTCAGGACACACTTGTCATATTCATATTCAGGACACACTTGTCATATTCATATTCAGGACACACTTGTCATATTCATATTCAGGACACACTTGTCATATTCATATTNGGTCAGGGAAGTGGGTCATCTCTGTGGGCAAGTGGGTCAGGTAAGTGGGTCATCTCTGTGGGCAAGTGGGTCAGGGAAGTGGGTCATCTCTGTGGGCAAGTGGGTCAGGTAAGTGGGTCATCTCTGTGGGCAAGTGGGTCAGGGAAGTGGGTCATCTCTGTGGGCAAGTGGGTCAGGGAAGTGGGTCATCTCTGTGAAAAGTGGGTCATCTCTGTGAAAAGTGGGTCATCTCTGTGGGAAAGTGGGTCAGGGAAGTGGGTCATCTCTGTGGGCAAGTGGGTCAGGGAAGTGATTCATCTCTGTGAAAAGTGGGTCATACATGTGGGCAAGTGGGTCATGGAAGTGGGTCATCTCTGTGAAAAGTGGCTCAGGGAAGTGGGTCATCTCTGCGGGCAAGTGGGTCAGGGAAGTGGGTCATCTCTGTGGGGAAGTGGGTCATCTCTGGGTAAGTGGGTCATCTCTGTGGGCAAGTGGGTCACGTAAGTGGGTCATCTCTGTGGGTAAGTGGGTCAGGTAAGTGGGTCAGGTAAGTGGGTCAAGTAAGTGGGTCAAGTAAGTGGGTCAAGTAAGTGGGTCAAGTAAGTGGGTCATCTATCTTTCAGAGCCAAGTGTGTCATCAAAGGACTGATGCGCCGCCCTTTAGCCGGGCCAAACTGGGTCAGGATGACACACACAAGGCAAAAAGTGCATCAATATTTGGACAAAGTCCCTCCATTTTTATGAGTGTACCAAGTGGGTCACTACGACCCACCATTGTTGGTGAGCAGCTCCATGGAGGGCTGCAGCAACTCCAAGTTATACCACAAGGGGGAGGGGTTATATCGCAAGGGGGAGGGGTTATACCACAAGGCAGAGGGGTTATACCACAAGGGGGAGGGGTTATACCACAATGGGCGGGGTTATACCCCAAAGGGAAGGAGTTACACCCCATGACCCACTTTTTGACCCACCTTGCCAGCAGGCACCCACGCTGAGGGTGGTGTTGATGCCCTTGGTGGGGTGGAGGGGCCAGTCGTCCAGCACCTGCGATGGGCGGGGGGAGGAGGTTATTCATGTTTCATGGGGGGGTGGGGGGCATGATAGGTCATAGGGGACGGCAAGACATAGCAACGAAAACGGTGAAAATTATAACAAAAACGTTTCAAATGACAAGAAAAACGTTGCAAATAACAACAAAAACGTTGCAAAGGCAATCAAAACGTTATAAACGACAACAAAAACGTTGCAAATGACAACAAAAACGTAGCAAATGACAACATAAACGTTGTAAATAATAACAAAAACGTTGAATATGACAACAAAACGATGCAAACGACAACAAAAACGTTCAAAATGACAATAAACGTTATAAATGACAACAAAAACGTTGGCAAAGACAACAAAAAGTTGCAAGTGACAAAAAAAAGTGGGCAAAGACAACGTTTTTGACAAGAAAAACGCTTCAAATGTCAACAAACACGTTGCAAATGAAAACAAAAACGTTGCAAATGACGACAAAAACGTTGCAAATGGCAACAAAAACGTTGTAAATGAAAACAAAAACGTTGTAAACGCAACAAAAACGTTGTGGATGACAACAAAAACGTTGCAAATGACAACATAAACGTTGTAAAGGACAACAAAAAAGTTACAAATAACAACAAAAACGTTGCAAATGTCAAGAAAACGTTGCAAATGACAACAAAAACGTTGAAATGACAACAAAAACGTTGCAAATGACAACAAAAAACGTTTCCTATGACAACAAAAACGTTTCATATGACACACAAAAACGTTTCATATCCCAGTAAAAACGTTGTAAATGGCACCAAAAAGTCGACTGCGGCAGCAAAAACGTTGGCCACGTCAACGAAAACGTCAGCCACGTCAACAAAAACGTTGGCCACGTCAACAAAAACGTTAGCCACGTCAACAAAAATGTTTCAAATGTCAGTAAAAGCATTGCAAATGACAACAAAAACGTTTCACATAACAAAAACGTTGCAAATGTCAACAAAAACGTTGCAAATGGCAACAGAAACGTTGCAAATGGCAACAGAAACGTTGCAAATGACAATAAAAAGGTTGACTATGACAGCAAAAACGTTGCAAATGACAATAAAAACGTTGACTATGACAGCAAAAACGTTGCAAATGCCAGTAAAAACGTTGTAAATGGCACCAAAAAGTCGACTGCGGCAGCAAAAACGTTGGCCACGTCAACAAAAACGTTGGCCACGTCAACAAAAATGTTTCAAATGTCAGTAAAAACATTGCAAATGACAACAAAAACGTTTCACATAACAAAAACGTTGTTGAAATTAGCAAAAACGTTGCAAATAATGACAGGAAAACGTTGCAAATGACAAGAAAAACGTTGGCGCCTCACCTCGGGCTCGCCGCTCTCAGGGTGCAGCGGGTGACCGTCCACGAAGAATGACTATGACAGCAAAAACGTTGCAAATGACAATAAAAACGTTGACTATGACAGCAAAAACGTTGCAAATGCCAGTAAAAACGTTGTAAATGGCAACAAAAAGTTGACAACGGCAACAAAAAAGTTTGCCAATGACAACAAAACGCTGCAAAAGACAACAAAAACGTTGCAAATGACAACAAAAACGTTGGCCACGTCAACAAAAATGTTTCAAATGTCAGTAAAAACGTTGCAAATGGCAACAAAAACGTAGCAAATGACAGGAAAACGTTGCAAATGACAAGAAAAACGTTGGCGCCTCACCTCGGGCTCGCCGCCCTCAGGGTGCAGCGGGTGACCGTCCACGAAGAGGGCGACCTCGGGGAGCTTAACCTGCACGCTGTAATGATGCCACGCGTCGTCACACACCTGCGGCAGGTGCTATCATTTTATGACCCACTTGTGTATCATGACCCACTTCAGCTCATGACCCACTTTCGTCATATAACCCACTTATGACCAATGACAAATTTAAGGCTCATGACCCACATGTGATCATGACCCACTTGAGGCTCATGACCCACTTATGACACATGACAAATTCATGACCCATGACCCACTTTGGCTCATGACCCACTCATGACCCATGACAAATTTGTGACTCATGACCCACCTGGGAGCCATGCATGACCCACTTATGACTCATGACCCACTTGTGACCCATGACCCACTTATGTCCCATGACCCACTTGTGACCCACATGACCCACCTGTGGCAGGTTCCAGCGCCACTCGGCGGGCTGGAAGGCGTTGAGTGCGCCGCTCTGAGGCTCATGGCGCAGCAGGAGGATGAGGCGGCAGTGGCGCACGAACAGCGCCACGTGGTGGCGGTTCATCTGCGCGTCGTCAGCCACGCAGAGCACGTGCTCCTTCAGGTGCTGCGCGGGGGGACAGAGAGGTTCAGAGCCGATTTAGAGCAGATTCTGAGCAATTTTGGCACAGGTTTTGAACCGATTTAGAGCAGGTTCGAAGCAATTTAGAGCAGGTTCTGAGCCACGCAGAGCACGTGCTCCTTCAGGTGCTGCATGGGAGGTTATAAGCCAATTAGGAGCAGGTTCTGAGACGATTTAGTGCCGATTTATAGCAGGTTCAGAGCCGATTTAGAGCAGATTCTGAGCAAATTTGGCACAGGTTTTGAGCCTATTTAGAGCAGGTTCTGAGCCACGCAGAGGACGTGCTCCTTTAGGTGCTGCGCGGGGGGGGGGACAGAGAGGTTCAGAGCCGATTTATAGCAGGTTCAGACCCGATTTAGTGCCGATTTGGAGCAAGTTTTTGAGCAATATAGAGCAGGTTCAGAGCCAATTTGAACAGGTTCAGAGCCGATTTAGAGCAGATTATAAGCCGATTTGGAGAAGGTTTTAAGCCGATTTAGAGCAGGTTCTGAGCCAATGTGGATAAGATTGTAAGCTGATTTAGAGCAGGTTTTGAGCTGATTTCAAGCAGTTTTGGATTCATTTTGAAGCAGGATCGGGCACGTCTGTCACATACCAGCATTTACCCAAGGATATGTGTAAGCAAGGATACATGGGACCTGCCTAGCGAGGACTCGGAGACGGAGGGCGACGAGGTCAAGACCACTTTGGGGATATGGTCTGGCAAAGCCCGACCTGAATGTGGGTCAAACTGACTCATGTTGGCAATACCGATAACAAAAGGTGGCATTGCCCACAGCCATGCTGAGCCACCGCCTTCGTCGTCACAGTCGTCCCATTCCCCACATCCTCATCTCGCTACCCTAGCCCCCTCATCCCCTCTCACCACTCCCCACTGAACCCCTCATCGACCCACTTACCCTCTTATCTCACCCCACTCCGCAATAATCCCTTATTCCCCCTTACCACTCCCCACTAACCCCTCATCTCCCCATCCTCCCTCCCTCAACTCTCCCNAGGTTATACGCCAGTTTAGAGCAGGTTCCTAGCCGATTTATAACAAGTTCTGAGCCGATTTGGAGCAGGTTCCAAGCCAATTTAAACAGGTTCAGAGCCGATTTGAAGCAAGTTTAGAGCAGGATCGGGCATACCTTCCGCAACACGATTTTAACCTAAATGGCCCTGCACGGCTCTTGCCCGGCTCAAACACTGCTCCAAATTCAACCAAGTTAAAGGAAGGAGGGCGAATATACGTTTAAATATTACTTTTTAAAGACAACACTTCTAAAGAACCGAGTGTTTTCAATGTACAGATGTACAATGAATTTCTGATTTTATTTTCGAATATTAAAAAAATTAATTTTTCAATTTTTTTAATATATAATTTTTTTTCAAAATTATTTAATCTGTCATTTGATTCATGCATTGTCTTCAACTTTACGCAAGTGTACAAAATTTCAGATCGATTGGACAAGTAGAAGTGTGTTAAATATTGATTATAAGATTTGTGGCAGACAGTCAAACAACAAGAAGTGAAGTTAAAGAGAAGTGTTGTAAAGAGGGGAGTGAGTGACAGCGAATAATAATATATAATAATGAAAAATAATGAATAATAACGAACAATAATGAATAATAATGAACAATGATGAATAAAGACGAATAATAATGTGTAATTATGAATAATAATAAATGACAATGAATAATAATGAACAATAATGAATAATAATGAAGATAATATAAATAATGAATAATAATGAAGATAGGTAATATAAATAATGAATAATAATGAAGATAGATAATATAAATAATGAATAATAATGAACTTGATACAAATAATTAAACTGACCACACATCTTGCGCAGCGTGGCAGGAGGGGCGGCGTCCCTGTCACAGCCCCTCCCGATGTGCTGGGTGTCCAGGGTGACGCGGGTGTGCACCTCCTGCACCTCGCAGGGGGCGCCACACAGCGCGAGGGACGCCTGGGGGAACACCTGTCTCTTATACACATCTGTGGGTCAGGGANATTTTTTTGGGGCTTCAGTTCGGAATTGTCAGATTTTTACCACGGGCCAGAAAACACACGCACCCGCATCACCAAGTCTGGAAATTTACAAAAAAGGTCCAATGACACATGCACCCACAAGAAAGGCTTCATCCAAAACAATAATTATTATTGAAAACCACTGCAGAAAAACAACATACCCAATTGTAGGAATTAAGTTGGGGCTCGAGATGGCGCCGCTTATTGATAGCTTCGTGTGTTTTAACGCATTTACTCTCATGGTGAGTCAGATGCATAGAAACTTACATGAACGTGAAACAGGTTAAACGTTTTAGCTGTCTCTTATACACATCTTGCCTCAGTGGGGCCTCTGAAAAATAACGATGTCCTTGTTGGAAACGACCAGGGCATGTGCGAACTTCTGGGAGCTCAATTTGAAAAAGTATTCAGCGAACCCCGATACTCCAGACAGGAGAACGAAATTGGAGTCATTCAAGAACTTCCAGGGGATCGGGAGCTGACGAGCATTGAGTTTGAAACACCAGATCTAGAGAGGAGTATCCAAGAATTATCCAAGTCCCTCTAGTCCCCACCTGGTCCCGGGACAGCAGCTCGTAGCCACACACGTCCCCATATTTAGGACTGCAGTCCTCGTCGGTGGCCTGGAGGACGACCAGCTCCTCGTACAGGCGTCCTTCGTCGGCCGCCACCGCCACCGCCGCCGTCGGGAAAACCGGCGGGAACTCGTTCACGTCCGCCACTTTCACGTGCACCGTTACACTGCGGACGTAAGGGGAAAGGGGTTAGTGGTGAGGGAAGGGGGTAGGGGGTAAGTATCGAGACATATTACAACGAAAAAAGGGGGAGACTGTGCAGGATTCCCCCATGTCCGAGCTTGTGCTCAAGACATTGAACTCATCATATTAAGCTCTACCTGAGGATCGGGTTACGTTGACTAAGGTAGTGAGGGATAAGTAAGACACATAAGTCCAGATAACGAATCTTGTATACGGGGTGGTAATACAGAGTTGCGATACAGAGGAATAAGCTACGGCGTCGACCGTAAGGTCGGAGAACTCTACCGACACGCTACATCGCGTAGTGCTCATCAGCTACTGGGGGGCACTACTAAAGTTTGCTAGACCTTTTATAAGCTTCGCTAAGGTCTTGATCGCGCGATCGATCACGTAACTCTGTGACACATATGCTGTATGGCAAGGTCTCAGTAACACCGTGGACTCAATAGCTAACTAGGCCTGTTGGTAAACACATGAGGACTCGTTTCCGCGACCTACTCTCGGACACCAATTTAATAACCGAGCCGCGGCCAGAGTACAGACTCTTCGTGAGGGATCACTGTCCGTGGTAGGACCGAGGCTCTTTAATGCCTTGCCAAAAGCGCTGAGAGGAGGGGAGTTTACCCTTGCAACATTCAAGAGACAACTGGACAAGTGGTTGAGAAAGATCCCGTATTGTCCAGTAATGGGAAACTACCATCAGCAAGCGACAAGCAACAGCATCTTGCATCAGCGTGCCCAAATGAGGGCAAATAGACGGAACACGTCCAACGTTACATCCGACGACGACTCGGAGGACGACGAAGGCGGCGCATCAGCGTGACCGGGGACTAGGAAGTCCCGAACTCATCATAAGGTCATAAAGGTGTGGTATAGTAGCGGTTAGTGTGTCTTTTTAAAGCCATTAATCAAACCACCATTCTGCTGTCGGAGCGCAGCCGTGGGTAGTAACAAAATTGACTCGTAAACAGGCCCTGGGCCTAACGCCAACCCTCAGCATGCAATATCTACACATAGCCTCAGATCAATGAGCTGTGGGTAACTCCGGCTAACAGTAAATCCGCTTTGCACAACACAACCACTGCTCCACAGAGCTGGAGCCCAACTGGCCGGAGCGCAACAGGCCCTACCGCAACAGGCGGCGCAGGTTATCAAGTTAGAGCAGGCAGCAGGTTCTGGCAGGCGTTAAGTTGGTCAGAGTAGGCATTCAGTAGGTTAAGGCCGGCATTAGACAGGTCAGAGCAGTTATTCGGCTGTTAAGGGTAGATCAGAGCAAGCATTCGGCAGGTTAGGGCAGGTCAGAGCACGCATTCGGTAGTTCAGAGCAAGCAGGCAGAAGGTAATGATAGACGTTACGCAGGTTAGGGCAGGCTTTTAGCAGTTCAACGCAGTTCAAAGCAGGCATTCAGCAGGTTAGGGCAGGCTTTGGCAGCTTAGAGCAGGCATTCAGCAGGTCTGAGCAGGCATTCGTCAGGTCAAGACAGGCATTCGGCAGGTTAGAGCAGGCATTCAACAGGTCAGAGCAGGCATTCGTCAGGTCAGGGCAGGCATTCGGCAGGTGAGGGCAAGCATGTGGCAGGTTAAGACCGGCATTAGGGAAGTTATGGCGCACGCATTCAGCAGATTAGGGCAGGCATTCGGCAGTTTATGGCAAGCATTTGGCAGTTTAGGGCAGGTAAGAGCAGACATTCGGCAGGTCAGAGCATGCATTTGTCAGGTTAGGGCACGCATTCGTCAGGTTAGGGCAGGCATTCGGCAGGTCAGAGCAGGCATTCGGCATGATAGGGCAGGCATTCGGCAGTTTGATATTATTTAATCACTCACAATTAATTAAACTTCATTTATACCTCTAATTTCTGTTGCAAGGCATCAATAAAAAAATTTAACACCATAAGATGAGTAGGCTTTGCGGCACCACCCAAAGCCATGCTGATGTACCACCATCGTCGGCTACCAAGGGCAATGACACCTTAAGATGAGTCCGCTTGGGGGCACCACCCAATTCCATGCTGATGCACCACAATCGTCGACTACCAGTGGCTTTTAATGCAATATTCTAACACTCACAATGAAGGGCGTGTCGCTGCTGCTGTGGTGGCTCACAATACTGAAGCAAATCCATGCTGATGCAACACCATCGTCGGCTACCAAGTACAACATTGACTTTTAATGCAATACTTTATTGCAATATTGGCTTTTAATAGAATATTTAAGACTCACAATGAAGGGTGTGTCGCTGCTGCTGTGGTGGCTCACAATACTGAAAGAGCAGACGTTGGGGGAGGCGCGTATGGGGGGATGAAACTCAACCCCCAGCCCGTCTTCCCCCACCACCCCCCGGTACCCCGCCTCAGGCTTCACCAGGTCAAAACTGGGACCTGCGTAATAATGATCAGCACTCAAATAAATAATTGGGTCAAAAAAGGTTCATTAGGGGGATTTATATTATTAATTAGAATACGTAGATTAGGTCAAAACTGGGACCTGCCATATAGATGATCATCACTCATTTAAATAAATGGGTTAAAAAAAGGTTAATTAGGGGGATTTATATAATTAATTAGAATATTTTAGGCGATAACAATGACCACCACTCATATAAATAATTGGGTTTAAAAAGGGTTAATTAGGCTGCTTCATATAATTAATTACAATATTTTAGTTTAAAAAGTGACACAATTACTTAACCAAAGCGTAGCAGTGATACGCCCGATTTTCTGGCATAAATGAGTCAGGTTGACTCACATAGGAGTAAAACATGCATCGCTATTCGGACAAAGCCTAGCTTATTTTTTTGTGTATAGGTTCTGAATTAGGGGAAAGGTTTGCATTCTTGTGTTTCCTCCCCATCCCTCATCCCCACCAACTCCCCATCCCTCATCCCCCCAACTCCCCATCCCTCATCCCACCAACTCCCCATCCCTCATCCCACCAACTCCCCATCCCTCATCCCACCAACTCCCCATCCCTCATCCCACCAACTCCCCATCCCTCATCCCCACCAACTCCTCATCCCTCATCCCACCAACTCCCCATCGCTCATCCCCACCAACTCCTCATCCCTCATCCCACCAACTCCCCATCCCTCATCCCACCAACTCCCCATNAAAGATCCAATCAGTACGAAATATTAATAGAGCAATGCAGGTTATTGACCAGCGTCGGTAATATATAATGTATATTTATATATAAATAGTGAATATATAATTTATATAGAAGATCCAATCAGTACCATTTATTAATTATATTTAATATCAAATTCCAATCAGAGGAAGCAGCACAAGTCAGCTGACTTCCTGACATCAATGATTGGCAATACGAGTCCAGTGAAGCCAATCAAGGGCCAATATGAGTCATATTGACCCATTTATGCCCGTGAAAATAACGTATCAGTGCTACACGAAGCAGGAAGTACGTCACTATTAGGACTTTACGACATTTACATTTTTATGAGTGTCAAGCATGACACAAGACGGCCCTGGTTGTCATGGCAACCAAGATGTAAACAAACCCCCGCTGGTGCCCCCCCTTTGACCCCAGTGCCACCCCCCTCCCCCCGCTCTACTATTGATCCTTCATACATGAAGAAAAAAAATTGAAATTGATAAAAAACGAAGAAATTTACACCATATATAAAATTTTTTTTCTGAACTGGTGATCAAATATTTTATATTATTATTTAATAATTTTACTAAGAATATTATTCCACAAATGATTTCATTTGAATATGGAAGTAATGCTTGATATGGAATAGTCAATATTGAGTAATTGATATATATTTATAATAGAATAGATTAACTTAAATTATATTGGATTATTTATAGCAGTCTGTACAGTCTGCGGCCAGCAGTACAGTGCAGTCTGTACAGTCTGCGGCCTGCTGTACAGTGCAGTCTGTACAG